AGTGAATGAAATAAATAACGACATGAAGTGAGGAGACAGATTACCAAATAGAACAATGTATACAATGTTCATAGATTTATATAAATAATCCATCGAATTTATACACAATGCTGTGAAATCAGATATTTTCGTGGGGCGCTAATTTCGTGGTTTCCTGACAACCCACGGTATCAACGAAATTGAAAACACCACGAAAATAAGTGATTTCACAGTAGATAACGTGTTGTATTGCGCTACAATTCTAATAGTGGTGCGCAATTGTTATTATTGTTATACACATTTATGTGTTATTTATTCTCAATTTCCAGGATAAACTGTTATGTAGCAATATATTGTATATGGTTATGGGAATAGTCCAAACTTCTTTTTAATCTTTATCTATAACCAGTATTAAGTAATGAAATTAAACAGCAAAAAAAGTCTGATAAGGAGTTATCGATCAGTATTTTATCGTGAATTGAACATCTAAACATATTGAAAATGTATATATTCTTGCTTCCTATATGAACTTGTGCAAAATAATAATAAAAAAGCCAGTATTCACAGAATTGACGAGTTAGTCTGGTGTGGCACAAGCGGAGATACCGTGACTAGTGTTGTGGGTCTGGGGATGGGTGTACATCGCCGATACAATTAGGTAAATACAATTGTATGATGCGTCTTGACATAAGTCACGCGCTCCTGGAGATAAAACGATTATGATCAAGACGTGTCACACTTATGGCGTGTCTATCTTAATTACGATCTGTGTATTGATCATATCGTGACACGCGTGTTACGTCACCAGTAATGTTCAACACGTCACATTCGTCACCTGACCCACACAAAACGTTTGTCGGATCATCAGGATGTTTGAAAGCGGAACTTGTCCACCGGTTGGTACCCGTGTCAGTATTCGGTATCCCCAGGGCCCATAGACAACCCTCCCGTCCAACATTACAATTATTGGGGTCTAGATCTTACAAATGATTGTGATAATACATTCGTAACACTATACACTCAATATGATCCTGTAATATTAAGTAACGTCTGGTAGTCGCTGTCTCGGAATCGGAGAGCTATTTTTAGATTCATATTTGAGTGTAGGCAAACTGATCAACATTAATTTAAATACAGATTATTTCAGAAAAAAATAAACATTTTCTATTTGAAATATTGTTTAAAAAGGATTGGATACAAGATTTTTTATGACTTGATAGACCTTATCTTTGTAATTTTTCATATTCCATACAAGCGATCTTACCTGTTTACTTGGATGTAATAAGATGAAAGGAGGAAAGGGAGGGTGACATGGAAGGAAGGAAGGAAGGAAGGAAGGAAGGAAGGAAGGAAGGAAGGAAGGAAGGAAGGGAGGAGGGGAAAGAGAGAATGCAAGAAGGAGAGACAGAAGGAAAGAATAATGAATAATTTAAATGCACATCGAAATAGATAAAGATAAGTAGCACTTTTCCTGAATTATCCATATAATCCTCGATCGGACTGGATCTAGACAAAAATATATTATCCTGTTTATAATCTTTATTCACGGCTCGTTTCAATAAAGTGTAATGTAAAGAAAAGACAAGAAACTGAATTTCTTAACAGAAAAAATATTAAAACATGACCAACTTTATCATAACTGTACTGTGGGGAAGTAGGCTTACGAAAGACATCCAGCAAAAAAGACAGAAAAACGGAAATATAGGCGCGGAATGATATCGCAAGAAAACGTGTGAAAGACTCTGATCTGACACAGACAAATAAATAACTAGTTCAATAGACGATTTTAGTCACTGTGTTGATGTCAATATAAACAATGATATTTAAGTAGATAAATAATAAAACAAACAAAATAAAGTTAAATGAATAAACAAATTAAACAGAAAAAGAGTGACATTATTGTTTTGTAAAACTCCCTACAATTAATATGTATATTTTATTTTTTATTCTTTAATCGTCAGAACGACACGAACATAAAAAGTCATAATAAGCGTGCTAATTTTTACTTTCGGAATATTTAACTTTTTAAAACAATAACATGCATCTTCTCCGACTATATAAGTTTGTTTCAATATTTCTTAGTTAAGGCAGACACAGATTTAACCATTTCAACTAAAGTCGATAGAACGCTAACCGTATTTTCTCATGGATATTTTCCCTTTTAAATTGGATTATGAGAAAACAATTGTCAAAAACGTTTTCGCGTTAACTCCGGCTGGGAACATTTGATTTTATAAACATACGCTTTTATAGTCCTGAACACATAACCGGCATATATAAGTTTTTATGTAAATGTCGAATGATTGTCGGAATTTTTATCACCGAAGATAAAGACATCAACAATTTCAACTGGAGATGTGTTTCACATATTTGCTTCTAGCTTTAATAATAAAATGGAGCAAGTATCTTTAATGCAAAAAAAATGTGTGTGTGTGTGTCTCTCTCTCTCGTAAGACATCACAAATAATCAAACATGTAATTATTGTTGAACATGCTAGACACGATCAACTGCACAGGTGCTTGACGCAAAAATAATAAACGATATGTAAAAACTATAATCTTCACATGTCCGTCGAACAGCTTTTAGATAAATCAAGCAAACAAGATTGTTGTTCTAAACCAACAAAACATTAGGAACTATAACAGGTAAATATTTTCCAATCGAAAGCTGTTCGGATCTTTCCGTCGATCTGTCTGAGTAATCGGAGACCAATCATGGCGTGACGTCAAATTCAAAAATTATGACGGAAATTACCGAATCGGTTCCGACAAATATTTGTCTCTTGACGGAAATAGTAATCCTTGAAACACAACTTTATTCCGCAAAAATGTCTGTTTCACTTTCTATATGTTTCACTGAGAGTAAATCTAACTTTTTGTTAAGTTGCAGAAATATTGTTGCATTATTGATAATTTGTTTGAAACTTATAGCGTCTAATTGTGAATCAATTTGCTAAAATTTGCTTTTACTTATTGAATAATAAGCATACAATCAAAATATGAATTCTGGTAACTATGATAATCACACATACTCATAATTATGTGTATTCTGAAGTTTTCAAAACCTTTCAGGGTGTCATTAACCATATTTAATCAAACACTGGAGATAATATTCGACATATACAGGAACACGCGAGAAATTGCAATACCGATAATTCCGGAATACGTGAAATTTCCGCCAAAAATATATTCTGACTTTTGTTTTAACTTATTGGAACATGATTGTCAGGTATTGACACACATACAGAGGTGTTGGTAAATTAATCAGTACAAATATGTTTGTTGTACAATTCAAGCTAACATTTAAAAAAAAACATTCAAGCTAGATAACTATTTAAATAATAGGCTCGTCCATACCATATCCGGAACGCAATAACCATTCATTCATAATCTCAAAAGGTTAAACAAAAACAATCTTTGAAGTGTATTTAAAATCATATTTCAAGAAAATATTTTCTGGATATCTTCGGCTTATCTTCAAGCGTTAGATTGAGCAGATTGTATAAAATTAGGGAAGAAAATATATCAAATGCATTTGTAATCAATGCTTTTCACAATATATTTGGTTTATTAAACAGAAAATTAGTCAAATTCACATAAAAAATATGACTCTATTAATGGGTCAACTACATAAAACTCTGTTATTGAAACTGTTTTTAAGTTTAGATATGCATACATATTGAGTGTCAGAATTATATTTCTAAATGCTGAAACACGTGAAAGCATTTTTAATGTCAACATTTCTGCAAATCGTTTGTTTGCCATTCAAGTTTGTGCGACAATTAATTTATCTCAAGGTTCCCTGTCAGACAATTATGCTTCGATGATCCTGAACATGTTCGTAAGTTTTTATTTACATGTATATCATCATAATAATAAACACTGATCATTATCGCCCAGTAAAATCCCTTCCATGTTTGTTTACGTGGGAGCGGGGACCACGTCAGGGCAATTACCTCTTAACAAGACCACAGTATACCTTACCGCCTACATTCTGACATGAAAGTCCGTAAATTATGAAGACAATTTCATTTATATTCTTCAGAAGGAATTTTGGTATCTATACAAACGCTGTTAGTTTTTTAACAGAAAAATCTGTGTGTTCTAAATTCCAGAATGGCTTTTGGTTTTATCAACTCGACAAGGGAAGGTTTTTACATAGCAATAAATGTCCGCCCCGGTCTGGGATGAGGGGGTAATAACAGCCACGTCATGGGGGAGGGGGAACTCGCGAGGAGAGACACTCTCTCCCATACACATACGTCACCGCACGCACGAATTAATTCAGGTTCTATAAATTGTATGATATGGGCACAATCAGATCAGGATCCTGTGAAATTTTGGGTCGGGTGCGATTCCCATGCCCCGTTGGCCCATTACTTGCATATAACGGGGGGATTTTTTTTCTGCATCTGCCGCCACAATTTTGACGAGGTGATTAACTTACTACTGACATGTTGAAGAGTTATTTCTCAAGAAAAAAATGTTAAAAGCCAAACGAAATCTTAAACAATTGTGTTTACAGTCTCTTTTAAGAATAATTAGCGATGTAAAATTACAAAAAGTATAGGATAATTAATAAAGAAAATAATTCATTTCCTTCGATATATTTTTTATCAACGTTCCGTATTGGTTGTATATCTATTAGATTATAACACATATCGCCACAATACAGTTATATATATTTTATCGTAGTAAAATGTCATTGCTGTATTTCATAATTGAACAAAACTGTTTAAACGGAGAGCTATTTCGTATGTTATCATTGTAAAATGACCAAGTTTCGGACATTAACACCGCCCGGTATACATTTTTGCCAAAAACAGAATCAATTGCTGATTTCCGGAAAATCTATATCGTTTTCCGATCGTTTATTATTTATGAAAACAAGTCGCGTTCTGGTAATACTTCCCGCTCGGGGCCCGTGCAACCAACTGGGACCGACTCTTGGGCCATATCAGTCCCCAGTGCTTGCCTTGCAGAATCAACAACAGTTTGTTCCTCAAGTTAAAATGTCAAAGTTAATTTTCTACATCGGTCTAAATCGTGCCAGCGAGATTTCCTGAGAGCAGCAGCACATTTAATTGGGGCAGGAAAAAGGAAAATGTGGAGCACGAATGATAAGTATGAAATAGTGATTAATGTTGCATGTGTTTTAATCACATGCCTGTCGTTCGAGGCCTTCCGATGAAGGATACCAAAAACCAGGCGGAGAAAGCGTCCTGCCCGTCCGCGGAATGAAAACGGCCATTGTATTATTTTTTGCGAGGTACTCCGAAATGATTAGCGTCACGTTGACAGATCTTAGTCCACCCAATGTTTGTATTCGGAACACCCGACGTCCGGCTGTGTTGTTGAGGCACGGTTCGACGGAATATTTCAAAAAATCTCGACATACGTTAGATGCATTAAAATATCGCTTTCCAAATCCTGTTATCAATGTATATCTATGTATATTTTTTATACATAAACACACATGTTTGTATCAAATTGATGACATTTCATGTCAAAGGTAATGTTATCAAGAAAACTGCATTTAATCGGGATTTTTTTTTCGGCGAGCACAGAATTAAATCTTTCAAACGCTTTAATTTGAAGTTTTTATGGTATTGAAGTTTGGAAAAGTGTTGAAAATATATGAGTCCATGAAAAAGTCTGTTCTGCTTTTCGATTGCACCAGTTACATTTTAAGGTATGGAAACTTGTTATTTAAAACAAATTATTTATTGAGGTTGTTATTAGTTTTTTTCACAAACTAGCATAGTTTTATCATATAACAGTTTGACATACATATCGAATATTCTTACCGTTTAAGTAAAAAAATACAAAAACTAATGCTATAAAATGTATTATAATATCTCTAATTTTGCTTATTCCTGAATGTTTATTATGTACGGTAGATATATTTATTTTAATTTCTTTAAAGGAAAAATATCTATGCGCACATCCATCAAAATAGCTTCGACGTCAATGAATTAACATTGTCGGTATTACATGTATCATATACGAGTTTTTTCATAAAAGAAGGACCAGGTTTTTGAATGGTTAGTTACATTGGTATGAAACATCTGGAGCGTACATTCTTCAACAGCAAAGTGAATATTTTGCACAAAATTAAAGATAGAATATTGTTGCAGAATGTCTAAACAAATTTGATAAACGGGAGAGTAATAACGTTACGTTCTTAATCAATTTACGTTGTAGAAAAAAGCTCGGGCGTAACAAGTCAATAGAAAGAATTTAGAAACGGGGACATTTCCCTCTTGTAATAAGGTTGATAAAAAGGACAACATACCTGCCCAATCCCTTTTGTATAATAGATTAAAAAAAATATGTATAAATAACTAAACATACCTGCTAGCGCAAGGTCCATCGGCTCCGTCGACGCTGTGGGGACATGCCCGTAGGGCGAGTGGTCACCGGAAGAGGAAGGGGACATGCTGGGGACGGACCCGGTACTTCCGGCGGGGCTTATAGGCTGTTTTATATAGCGTTGTGAGGACCAGGAGGTAGGTTGGAGGACTCCCTGCATAGAGTGGTCACGTTCGTACATAGCGTTGGTCAAATTGGCCGTAGCTGTATAGTCCGTTCCGTCCATTCCGGCCATCGCACAACTCGGCCCGTATCGGCCGCTCACGTTCACCGCCATGTTGACGTTGAAACCGCCACAATTAACGTTGGATGCCATACTATGTTGGGGTAGCGAAGGGTAGCTAGCATGATGTTGTAGACTTCCGCCATTTTGTGGACTCATCATGCCGGTCGTGTCATAGTTCTGTGACGACGCGCCGACGGAACATGTCTGCATCGCCGCCATCGACGCCATATTGGCATTTTGATGAAAAATGTCATAATGTGTGCCCATAATTGCAGGATTGCCTCCCATACTATTAACTCCTAGCATTCCGAAAGGTTTCAGCGCCTGACACTTTCTTCGGAATCCTCTTGGGCGTCTCCTAAATGATCCTTCCTCGAACATGAACTCTGCTGCCGGATCGATGGTCCAGTAATGTCCTTTCCCCGGCCTGCCGAGACCTTTAGGGAGCTTGATAAAACATTCATTTAGAGATAAGTTGTGACGGACGGAGTTCTTCCATCCTTGATATGCACCACGGAAAAACGGAAACCTCTGTTGTAAGAACTGATAAATTTCACTGAGCGTACAACGTTTGTTTGGCGACGCCTGTACGGCCATGACGATGAGTGCGATATAAGAATATGGCGGTTTTTCCTGCCGCCTAACTCCGACGCCTGCTTTCTTCACACCTTTCTGTGTAGACGAAGGTGAGTCGGGACTCATCGACGCTGTCGTCGTTGTCGGTATTTCGTCGGATTCGTCGTCCGAATCGTTTTCCTCGATGACCGAACATGGCTCCTTCTTGGGGACGAAACCTTCCTCCTGACAGTGAAGAACTCCTCTAAGTTCGGTAATATCCTTCACGTCTACGGGATCCATGTTTATTATTTTGTATACGACTTGTGTAAACTTTCCAGTAAAACGCGAGAGAGCAATGAAGATCCCCCAGCTCTCTCCGGTACAACTGTTGAAATTACTTCAGAACCAAAATGTCATCTTCATACCAAACACGAGATATAACATGAAATATTACTGGTTTACTTAGATATGCGGGGTGTATAGCCTCGCAGCCTCGTTTATGAGATAATCCTATCTACATCAGATGGGTGTCAGATAGTAAGACGGAGGGCCTGATAGCTCTATCACATGTATGCACACCGTTCGTTTGATTAAACGTGACACGCATTTCGCATTTCATGCATAATATACCGGGAAATTAGCGCAGCAAATTGCTTAGTGGTGGTGGGTTGGGTAGGAGCGATCTGATTGGACGAGCGCTGCCGGCATGGGAGGCGCTAATCAATGGCATTATCACAGATAACGGTTAAGACTTTCTCTCCCTCAGCAGCTAGGATAGGAAATTGGACCCCCTTCTCTCAGTGGCCAGGGGTCATCAGGTTGGCGGGTTCTCGTGGCTATATGTCACGTGGAGGGAACAATTTATCTGGAGAAGTTTATGTTCTGAATTATAAAGTATTTATTATAATAGTTAATAATGGAAGTTTAACTTTATCATAGTTTTGTAATATTGAGAAAAAATTAACATGAAAATATCAACAGATTGAGTGTTTGCAGTCGGAAATAACATGTCAGAATTAGTGTTTTATTTACTTTCTTTTAAAAGGAATGGTTATTACGATAATGCGTGCATTCGGAACATGGTTATGAATTTATTAAATATGTAAACTCATTTAGATACCTATTATGTAAGTCGTTAGTAATAAAAACAACCAACGGGTAAACAATATCGTATATCCTTCTGAAAGTGAAAATATTCAGAAAATAATTCATACTTTATATTAAAATTAATCAGAAATAAGTTATTTCAATAACATAAGCAAAAACATCTGATAGACCCGGAGGAACGTAAACACTTCCCTGTTCTTTTGTTCACGCATTTCTGTAAACAACTGCTGTTTATCCTTCAAATACATTTTTAAATTGAAAGTTGAATTACACAATTCGAAGCTCGATTTATTTTTCAATTACAATAAGACATCACTCTGAATATGATTGATAAAAATCTAATAATTTCGGCTGAAGTTTTGAATAAACTTTCCCCTTTAGTGTTTATCTTACAGCTTTTGTTTATAAACAGTAGTTATAATGCCTGCACCAGCGAATAGAATATTTAGTATATATCTATAAGTTGTCAAACTTTTGAAACAGAAAAAGAATAAACATTTCAGTCATACCGCTAACTAAAAAATGAAATGAATTAAGCAAAAAAAAATAATCAAGAAATAAATCAGATATTATTTTCTATTCTCGAATATTTTTTTCGAGATTGTTCTTCCAATCACAATTTTGTGAAGATTTGAATTCACAATAGAAAAAAAGTTATACAGTAATGTTTATTCATTATTTATTTATGCAAAGAATTATTACCGATAATTTGAATTTTCAGTTTCCCTTCTCGCGAGACAGCACGAGAATAAAATGTCTCGCGAAATTAAGATAATTTACAGTAGAGTATTTTTTGACACAATATTGACAACGGGATTAGTCGGTCGGTTTTCCAACTTATTAATTGACTTCTCCCGTAATACAGAGAAATATGATAATACACAATTGTAACATGATGGTAAGAAAATAATATGTTATTAATGTATAATTTACATTTAATAAAACTAAGTCATTTTTTCCAAAGGAAGTACATTTATAAACATCAAATGAGAAATATAGATAATACTAGTAACAAAGAATAGATTATTTTGACATGATTTTGGACACATATTTTAGAAAATAATCTCAAGGATACAATAAAACAAACAAAATATAAATGTTCATTATTTCTCATTATGTGTTGTTACAGTTATTACGCTACACTAATACTTTACCGCATATAATTTTAAAAAAATCCATATTTTACAACCAATAAAAATCAATATCATGTATATATTGACGCTACACAAATAGTTCAAACATTTAGAAATGAAAAAAAATAATCCCGTTTGTTTTCTAAGTTAATTTTTCTACAGCGTAGAATAAACAAAGACAAGTGGTTTTTTTAAGGTCGTTCGGCAATAGGCTAACACGACAAGGAGTATCAAGGAGTATCAAGTTTAGCCGAGGTTCCGACCCAGTTTTTAACCTCAGGAAAATATGTTCTCACCACATACATCTGCTGCAAGCATGGAAAATAACAAGGAAGCTAGTTTTCTAAAAGTGAGAGCCGAAGCAGGCCTTTCGAGGTTTTTCATTTAAAGAATGAGATTTATTTATTTGGTGCTATGAGGGATACGCCGTGTCTTGACCGTTCAGGTCTCCGACCGCCTTTTTACAACCCCTACCCCCGTTCCCTTCCTGTGGGGTTTGGCAGCGTCTCCGGAGATCCCCAGTATTATAGATCGTTACAGCTATTTACCATCAATCAATACCTCTCTCAAGTTCAAAGACATTTAACTGCCTCCATTTCTATCTTTTTCTCTCTATGAATTTGATCATAATCTTTAAATCCTTAGCTTTTAAATACTCATATATCTGTGGCTGCTCTGCAAGAGCGGATAAAACCCCCATCAAAGCCGGGCTCCGTGTGTGGCGAGCGGGGGGACCGAGTTTTTGGGGGTCTGGGCTTTGTATGTGTCAAGTAAACTTCGTCTCTACAATCTCTTGACGATTTCACGCAGGGGTCTTTATGATAACCTCTGACCTTTAAATTGGCGTTTGATTGGCTGATTACGAGCATCTCTGAGATAGGTGTGACCAATTTGTCGGACTGATGCTAGATCTACTGCAAAAAACCTTACTAAATAGGTATGATCGCATTTTCTTTTGTGAAATCGTTCCGTCTGTTCCGGCGCTTGAGGTACTGCATGGGATAAAAACATGGGGCAAGGCAGATAAGATAAATTGGCAAGTAACTTTCGGAACATTATCGCCATTTATCTTAATGTGCGTGAATGCGAGAGTCCTGTGGTTTGGATCCTACGTCTAACACACGTAAAACCCCGAGCTGTCTTAGTTAAGTCTTCACAGCACGTGCCCTCGTTCTCAGAGTAATTACGAGACATGACGTACTCAATTGGTTATCAATCTTGTCTTGTAGAGGTGATAACATTTATGTCGAATTAATGAATTTGTTTCAAATTACACGATAAAATTGCACTCAAGCAAAGCATAAAGGTAAGATAAAAGCCAATACCTCACCCAATGTTTGAGTCAAACTAGTGCGGTGGGTTGTTGCTGATGTTGTTATTGTTGGCCTTTTCGTCCTGCTCGTCGTCCTCATCTCGTCCTGCTGGTTTTCCTCATCTCGTCCTTTTCCTCGTCCTCATCGCCCCCTTGTCGTCGTCCTCCTCCTCCTTGTCCTCGTCCTTCTCCTCCTTTTCCTCCCCCTCCTCCTCCTTCGCCTCCTCCTCCGCCGCCGCTGACGACGACGACAACGTCTCATTTTCAGTTTGGTCGAGCGTCTGCACTGAAATGTTTTCTTGAATTTTCATTCGAGAGAAAAATAACAATTTATTACACAACGACTCTCTGTAAAAGTAAAAATGCATAAGTAAAGATGACATATAACATCATTAAAATTAACGATATCGTCGTTGCGATGGTAAATAGGTTTTTAAAAAGTCTATTAATACAATATTTAGTCAGATTTTCTTACTTTGCATTAATGTATGGATTTTTAAACTACTAGGATTTGCTGTATTTTCGCACGTAACCCATTAATTATACACAATGTTTTTACTTAGCCAGAATCATTCCGAGAAGAAAATTTGATAGTGTTATGATATTTAATTTATCGTTAAGATGTTACAGATATCTGTAATAAAACATTAATCGTCTTTTAGCAGGTGTTCTCGATAAAACGCAGCAAAGACCTTGAACACAACCACACTCTATGCGCATGCTCGACTCTGGAGCCCGGCAGCCATATTTCTCTTGGATCTGTGGAAAGATGGAAATTATCAGGAATTACCGCGATCACGGCCCGATAGCGATGACAAACGGCTCTACAGTATCGGGTTCCCTATCGACATTCCGACAAACACCACAACTCACCAATTTGTTCCTCGCCGTCATGCAGGCGCGGAAAGTACAGATGTCAGAAAAAAGAGTGAGAATTAATAAAATTACATATCAGGGATTTTGTTTATTTATATCCATGGAGATAACAAAGCGGAAAATTGTAAACATTGATTTCGATAAATCTTCACGCTTGACGTTTTTTTTACATTTTTTTTTTTATTAAACCTGCATTTTATGGGGAAATACTGATTTCTTGTACAATTTGTACTTATATAAACACAGTATAGTCCCTTTGTAATGTAATTGCTATCTATGTTTACCTTTATATAGTCCCAGGTAGGGTATTATATTGTTATGTATTGATACTTGATTAGTCCACGTGCTATATATTGTATACCTGTATAAAACCTTTGTGGTGTAAATGTTATTCATGTATATCTCTATAGACACTACGTGATAAAGTAGTTATTTTTGTATATACATGTGAAATCCCTGAGATGTTATTGATTTTATTGATCCCTGTTCATTATTGCTTGTTTGTCAATCCAAAGAAAAAAAAGTACACTTAATTTCCATTTCTGTGATAGTAACCTCCCTGCTTCCCAACCTTCGGTGTCGCAGTTGATTCGATATTCAAGAGCTTCTTCCTAATAACACGACTTCCATGATGGATGTGGACGACAAAATGGACAACACAACACAAGGTTCCCAAAGATACAGGTTGATGAAGACAGTGGACAAACTTCATGGTCATCAGTCATGATCTCATTGCAATATGTTATGATTTTGTGTGAAATTAAAGTCGATTTTGGTTAAGCTCATTAGTGGGCCTCGCTCACTTTGTTATCACTGCACCAGTTCTCGCCATGAGGACATGCCATTAATAGGGTTTTTACCTAGATTTACATTGCGGGTGATTTCGATGAGGCAGCAAACGCTTACTTTTCCGGAGCATCTGGTCTTCTACTCCTTGTTCATTTTACCTATCTTATCAATTTTTGAGTTCAATTAACGGTTGTGATGACACGTAAATGTTCTCTTTTCTTTTTGCTTTTCGCAAAATGAGCTTCTCTATTTATTCTCGAACACGTGAACACAGTTGAATTTGCGGTGGATGCTGGACGAAAATTTACGCAACAGTACATACATATATTGCACAAAATAAAAGTAATCTATTGTTATGATACATTTGAAATACTGAATGACTGCCATATAATTGAAATTAAATGGTAAATACTATAGTAGCAAACATCCTTAACTGTATCACGTATAAGTAAAATCTCAATAAAATTCCACTCATGTCATTGGCTGCTTCGATTACAGCCAACATCTTTCAATGTCCACCTTTTTTCTAAAGTCATTCTTCGATATTTGGGCACGTTTTTACAACGCTGTCGTCGTCAACCTCCTCCTCCTCGTTCTCCTCCTCGTCCTCGTCCCCTCCCTCCTCGTCCCCTCCCTCCTCGTCCTCCCATCTCCTCCTCTCCCTTCCTCTCTCCTCCTCCTCCTCCTCCTCCTCCTCCTCCTCCTCCTCCTCTTTCTCCTCTTTGTTGCACATTAATGTTTCAAGTGTAATATTGAATGTAGAAGATAAGGTTTTGTGAAATCAGCTTTCTATATTCGTTTTTATTTAATACTATTTAAAGTAAATACCTAAAATAGTATTCGTGCGTTATCTATATCTTATTCAATCATTTTTGTCATATTGATTTTTTTGTGATGATTAAGGATGTCAAGACTTTGTTGATATATATGAGTTATTTCTAACACTTCTTCATCTGCGTTTTGTACTTAAGAATGTTGTACTTAATGTGGAATTAGAAAAAATAACTGATTCTCCTAGATAACGGACTTGTAAAATGTATATCCGGGGTGTTTTTCCGAAAAGATAGGAAAACACTTCTTTTTTAGATGTAAAAATGCACAAATGAGAAAAGTTATTCTCAGAATGACGAACGATTTTACAATATTTAGCTGGTTTTTGGTTTGGTTTGTTAATGTTTTACGTCATATTACCAGCTATGGTCTTTTCAGGACAAACCATGTTTTTGTGGTGGAGGAAAGCCGGAGTTCCCTGAGAAAAAACCCACTAACCTACGGTGAGTACCTGGCGATTGACCCACGTAAGCCTCGAACCCGCGACCCAGTGGTGGAGGGCTCATGGTAACAGAATGTCAGACGTCTTCTTAACCACTTGGCCATCGCGGCCAATATTTCGCATTTTGTCCACAGAGATAATACTTTATAAAATGAAATGTTCGTTGTAAATAAATATCCGTGGTTTTCGTGGCGGCTACGGAACCACGAAAATAAATACAACGATTTTTTATTGATATACTTGACTACTCTTTGCTTATATGGGAAATCCACGAAAGTTTGTACCACGAAAGGATCTAAATGGCTTCAAGCCACGAAAGAAACTACCCACGAATATTTCATGTAATACAGTATCGAACTTAAGCACTTTGCAAACCGTCTTCCTCAGTACATAAGATTTAGGTTTGTATGATAATTACTGAGGTAGCACTATAAAGTCGGCATCATCTCCGCGCTATCACAAGGAGACAAACACGAACATATCGCAGCCTCCCAAAATACACACACATACACTACACGCATGCATCTTGCACACAGGGGAGGCCGTCCTTAAATGACCTTAGCTGTTATTAGGACGTTAATCAAAATAAAACATGTTGTTTTTTTGATAATTTCTAGGAACACAAAGTATGGAATAACATATTTAAGATCAAGTATATCAATACAGAATGATAACACTAGGCAAACATTTTAACTGTAACATATTATCGGGACTTAAAGTATCAAGTGATTCTAAAGTTAAACAATATATTAATCCATGTATATTGTTTTAAATGTAAAATATATTTTCTGTGTGTCTTTAATTTATCGTTAATTGCCTTCAAGTTACTACATTATTAAAAGGAATCTTTAATATTGGATTGAATTGAAGGATATTCAAATATATCAGAATATAAAATTCGGTTACGAAGACAAATAATACATACTACGGTCTAAGGAATTCAGATAACAGTTATACAGACTAAAGACTACAGAATACAGTTATACAGACTAGAGACTAAAGAATACAGTTATAGAGACTAAAGAATACAGAATACGTTATAAAGACTAAAGAATACAGAATACAGTTATAGAGACTAAAGACTACAGAATACAGTTATACAGCCTAGAGACTAAAGAATACAGTTATAAAGACTAAAGAATACAGAATACAGTTATAGAGACTAAAGACTACAGAATACAGTTATACAGACTAGAGAATACAGAATACAGTTATAAGGACTAAAGAATACATAATATAGTTATAAAGACTAGAGAATACAGAATATGGTTATAAGGACTGAAGAATTCAGAATATGGTTATAAAGACTAAAGAAAACAGAATACAGTTATAAGGACTAGAGAATACAGAATACAGGTATAAGGACTAAAGAATACAGAATACAGTTATAAAGACTGAAGAAAACAAAAGACAGTTATAAAGACTAAAGAATACAGAATATAGTTATAAAGACTAGAGAATACAGAATATGGTTATAAAGACTAAATCATACTGAATATAATTAATAGGACTATAGAATACAGAATACAGTTATAAAGACTAAATTATTCAGAATACAGTTATAAAGACTAAAGAATACAGATTATGGTTATAAAGACTAAATAATACAGAATATGGTTATTAGGACTAAAGAATACAGAATACAGCTATAAAGACTAAACAATAGAGAATACAGTTTAAAAGACTAAAGAATACAACATAAAGTTAAATAGACTGAAGAATACAGAATACGGTTATAAAGACTAAAGAATACAGAATACATTTATAAAGATAAAGAAAACAGAATACATTTATAAAGATTAAAGAATACAAAATACAGGTATAAAGACTATAGAATACAGAATACAGTTTAAAAGACTAAAAATACCGAATACAGTTAAATAGACTAAAGAATACAGAATACAGTTTAAAAGACTAAAGAATACAGAATACAGTTTAAAAGACTAAATAATACAGAATACAGTTATAAAGACTAAATAATGCAGAATACAGTTATAACGACAAAAGAATACAGAATACATGTATAAAGACTAAACTATACATAATACAGTTATAAAGACTGAAGAATACAGAATACAGTAATACAGACTAAAGAATACAGTATACAGTTATAAAGATTAAGGAACATAGAATATGGTTATAAAGATTAAAGAATACATAATACAGTTATAAAGACTAAATTATACATATTACAGTTATACAGACTGATGAATAAAGAAATCAGTTATAAAGACTAAAGTATATAGATTATGGTTATAAAGACTTAATACTACAGAATATGGTTATTGGGACTAAAGAATACAGAATACTGCTATAAAGACTAAAGAATAGAGAATACAGTTTAAAAGACTAAAGAATACAGAATAAAGTTAAATAGAGTATCGAATACATAATACAGTTAAAACGACTAAATAATACAGAATATGGTTATAAAGACTAAAGAATACAGAATACATTTATCAAGAATAAAGAATACAGAATACAGTTAAATAGACTAAAGATTACAGAATACAGTTTAAAAGACTGAAAAATACAAAATACAGTTTAAAAAGACTAAAGAATAAAGAATACAGTTAAATAGACTAAAGAATACAGAATACAGTTTAAAAGACTAAAGATGGTTACAAAGAATACAGATTATGGTTATAAAGACTAAATAATACAGAATATGGTTATTAGGACTTAAGAATACAGAATACTGCTATAAAGACTAAAGAATAGAGAATACAGTTTAAAAGACTAAAGAATACAGAAAAAAGTTAAATAGAGTATAGAATACATAATACAGTTAAAAAGACTAAATAATACAGAATATGGTTAAAAAGAATAAAGAATACAGAATACAGTTATAAAGACTAAACATACCGAATACAGTTATAAAGAATAAAGAATACAGAATACAGTTTAAAAGACTAAACAATACTGAATACAGTTTGAAAGACTAAATAATACAGAATACAGTTATAAAGACTAAATAATGCAGAATACAGTTATAACGACAAAAGAATACAGAATACATGTATAAAGACTAAATTATACATAATACAGTTATAAAGACTAAATAATACAGAATACAGTTATAAAGACTAAATAATGCAGAATACAGTTATAACGACAAAAGAATACAGAATACATGTATAAAGACTAAATTATACAGAATACAGTTATACAGACTGATGAATACAGTATACAGTTATTAAGATTAAGGAATATAGAATATGGTTAGAAAGACTAAAGAATACAGAATACAGTAATAAAGACTAAATTATACATATTACAGTTAAACAGACTGATGAATACAGAAATCAGTTATAAAGACTAAAGAATACAGATTATGGTTATAAAGACTAAATAATACAGAATATGGTTATTAGGACTTAAGAATACAGAATACTGCTATAAAGACTAAAGAATAGAAAATACAGTTTAAAAGACTAAAGAATACAGAATAAAGTTAAATAGAGTATAGAATACATAATACAGTTAAACGACTAAATAATACAGAATATGGTTATAAAGACTAAAGAATACAGAATACATTTATAAAGAATAAAGAATACAGAATACAGTTAAATAGACTAAAAAATACAGAATACAGTTTAAAAGAATAAAGAATACAGAATACAGTTTAAAAAGACTAAAGAATACAGAATACAGTTAAATAGACTAAAGAATACAGAATACAGTTTAAAAGACTAAAGAATCCAAATACAGTTTAAAAGACTAAATAATACAGAATACAGTTACAGTTTAAAGACTAAATAATGCAGAATACAGTTATAACGATAAAAGAATACAGAATACATTTATAAAGACAAAATTATACATAATACAGTTATAAAGACTGAAGAATACAGAATACAGTAATACAGACTAAAGAATACAGTATACAGTTATAAAGATTAAGGAATATAGAATATGGTTATAAAGACTAAATTATACATAATACAGTTATAAAGACTAAATAATACATAATACAG